GAATGCTTATGGATATACATTAAATCCTAGCTAACATAAGAATGTGGAAAGAAGGAAGAAATGAGAAGGATCAAGGAAGGCACCAGGGAGTTGTCTCTACTTACGCTTTCTCATAAGCTTTTTTGGGATGCTTCGGCCATCGGGTCATGCACACCACCCTCTCGGGATAGGTCACCGTGGTTGAGTAATAGCCCAGGGGGAAGGACAGCAGGAGAGCCAGGACCCAGATGACACAGATGACCGCCTTGGTAGCTGTGGCTGACAGCCGGGGCTGGAGGGGATGGATGATGGCCATGTACCTGGAACATAGGAGAAAGGACAAAGTTCCCATTTATTCACCAAAATCTACACTAATGATTATACATTGTTCCTGCCAGTGAAAAATCCCATAAATTCTTGACTTCTCTTGATTTTTACAACTATGCTCTGATAACTTTTTCCTATGCCTTTCTTAAGCTTTATGACTTTTGACATAAAATGCTAAAATCCATAAGAAATAATCAGCTAGATTTTTAAATATTTCAGAACCCATCTAAGCAACATTCCAGGAAAAGTTTTTATCATAGGAATGCTCATGCTGGAGACACAATGTCCAAGTAGAGGCCAATGGCTTAGAGTGAAATTAGAAAAAAAATGTGGTAAATGTCTTCAATATAGAGATTATCTTTATCCTTACTGGATTAAGGAGTAATCGTGATAGAAATAGGAGCTTTTAAAGTCCTCATGTGGCAATTTAAAAAGCTAGCAATCCTACACAGGCCCATAAAATTTGAAGGGAGGTGAATGCATATGTGTGAGAAAGCAGTGGCCTCAAGCCAACAAAAAATCAACGGCTCTTGGAGAAATCCTCATCAATTCTTTGAAAGTCTAGAAGTCAGTGTGGAGCTAACAACACATGCTTCATGAGGAGAAAATCTCCACTTGCTGAGACAGACTCACTGGAACGTATCAAAGGCCAGAGTACAGGAAACCTCCTTGCAGGAAGGGGGTGGGAGAAGCAAAGCGAATGAGGTCTTAGAGCCTGGAGCCTGCCTCCATCTCCTCCCATCTGGTACCACGCACTTGATGGTGTCCTCTGAATGAATGTGCCCACACATTTGAATTTGTGTGCAGCCTCTGAGGTATAGCAGAACTTTAAGGAATAATAAATGTTTAAATCAGCATTTCATATCAGTTATAATCACATCAATCCTGCCTCCTTCATTTAAAAAGGCATATCCCTTAGTGTATTTTTCTTGCAAAGTTATAGATCCATCCCTTAAATGTACATTTCTTTTCAGAGTAGCAAGTATGTCTTAAACCACCTTTGGGGTTTATTATATGAGAAAAACCTCAGAATCACACAGTTGATTCTCTGACACGCAGGTATTTCTGGCTTCCATGGGGACAGAATGATCGGTCGGTGGAGACTTCAGAAATGAGCAGACAGCAACACAGATGTCAGCTGCCTCCACATAATTCCACATAATTCTTTCTCTACACTCTTTGGATTCCTAGACTCTCTAGGCCAGAACTGGGGCCTGGGTTACAAGTAAAGCCATTTCATTCAGTATGCACTCAACAAATTCACAACAGTCACCTGCTGCATGTAGAACACAGCATTTCCTTCTGGGCTCTGAGCTTCTAACTTCTCCAGGGAGAAAAGGTGCATAAATAAGCAGCCACAACATGACTGTAGGGTGTGTGACCTCCGGTGGTAATCTGATAAGTACCTTAGAGGCTTAGGGCAGCTGCAGAGGTCAGCAAGCCTTGGAAGGGCAGGTGGGCTATTGCAGGAGAATAAGGAGGTATGCTTAGTTGGATTTGGGGTGATCCTGCCAAGTATCTGGCTTGGAGGGCAGGAAGCGTTCAGAGCCTCCCTCTCTGCTCTGTTATGATTAGATCTGACTTACTGTCCAGGAAGCTGGATGGCTCAGTTTTCATGAAGGCTTTCCTGAGCATTCTTTTAGAATCCTAAACTTTAGAATACCTTTCCCACGTTTTCTTGCTAGGAACATAGGTTTGCCTTCTCTGGTCTCTAAGAGCAATGCCACTGAAGGTGTTTGGTGTATGGATGCTGGATAGTAGGATGCTTCAGGTCAGCATTTACATATTATGAGATGTGATGATAACCTCCAGGTAGGAAACCCCAGGGTCTTTTCCTTCTATCTCTTTGGAAAAGTGGGTAGGTGGTCTCAAAGTTAAGAGAGAGTGGAATTAGGGTGAGACTTGAAAAAGATATTGTGGTGGAGGTGAGTAGTAATTTGTAAATCTCTGGGCAAGCTTCCCTGGTTGAGTTAGTGGCTATATAGCCTATGACTCAACTGCCACCCATGGAACATCAAAAGGGCAAAAACAACTCTTAAGATGTCATGAATCAAGCATTGTTTGTCTTCTTTAGGATACCCCAAGGGGCCACAGGTACTTC